ATAAATAAAGTCTCTGCAGAGTTGAGTAAATTACTTCCTAGATTTGTAAATTTTCTAAGAAATATGAACACAGCCATAACGAAGTTTGAAGAATTAGGAAGATCTAATACTCACCATGGCCTAAACAGTATAATCGGAGCTATTGACTGCACCCATATAAAAATTAATAGACCCAAAGTATCACTCACTCTGAAGCATACAGAAATAAAAAAGGGTATTTTTAGCAGAAGTTGAGTAACACAGAAACAATGAAAGATCTCCTACAGGTCTAGCATTCCGGCAATCTGTGATTGCACAATTTAACTAGGTAATTTGTTTGGTAATAAAGAATATCAAAACAAAACTTGTTTCATTTTAATCATTTATTTTCTGATTCTTTTTTTAAGTGTAATACATATTTCTAATACTAATTTATATTTTTGTTGAAGAAATTCTATTTCCAACAGATTTTTTAATTTCATATGTTCCACTCCTATCTCAAATTTTTTAGAGTAGTCAGGTAATAAATGGTAGAAGATTCAGGGAAACGAAAATAACAGATGTGAAGCGAGAGACATCGGTTAGGTTATAGTTTGATTTCGTTGTCACTATAATATGCCAGGGCTGCCAGGTGACATACAAAATCACACCAGTTATTTTTAAGATTTCTCAAAAATGGGGTTTGAACAATTACATAAATAATAAACAAACAATAATAAATACCATAATAATGTGTAATTATTTTAATTCATGCATTTCATAGGTATTTATCAAGATCATTTATAATTTCTTTGAATACAAATTCTATTTTTCCCAAAGTCTATGGAACTCCGATACAAAATGGCAACACCGTTCATTAAAAACCGACAAAAATAAAAAGTCCAGTAAAAGATATGATGGTAAAGCAAATTTTGGGCCATCATTTTTGTTAGGCTTATAGTCAAAGTTTTTGGTAAGTCGTCGATTTCGTGGACTTGAGATTAAGCTAAGCCAACACTAGGGAGAGATTCGCAGTTTGCTCTATAAATACCGACTGTGTCTTAGCTCGATAGTTAAGTCAGAGCAAAGTCTAAGTGCGCACTATAGATCTCACCCTAAGTGCGCACTATAGATCTCACCCTAAGTCTTTGGTGGCTATAGTAAAAATAACTTAAGTTTATTCGCTATATAGACCTAAATATAGTGTAGACATGAATTTTTTACCTGCATTAACAATATTAACTTGCTATTTCTGTATTTCTTTGTCAGCTGACCTGTCCTGGACAAAAACGTATAATAATCATATGTGGGTAATGTTAGATAATGTCATGATGTGCAGAACGAGATAGTTGTTTCGGGGACCTAATATCTAATGATATTGTTACTGTGTTAAACTGGCTCTGAAAATATTATTCTTAAAAATGATAATAATTTCTGGGTGTTTTTGCGATAACCCTGTTGCTAAAACAAAATTATGTTGTTATCATGAACACGTTTTATCTCCCACGACTGTAGTATTCTAAACGAGGCAGAATTTTTAATTCTGCTTAAAACTTGTTATTTCATCATTATGTTTTCCTGTTGTTTATGTTGTTTAATATATTAAACGAGTTATAGGGCGATATTTCAAAATTTAAAATATTTTTGAAATATTCATAGATTGGTCAAAATGGGTATGTATGCCGTATGGTGAATCTAGAAACTGGTGAGTTTATATTAATGAATTAATAAACTACCTATTACTTACCTACAAAATTAAAGAGCTCTACCTAGTCCAATTAGATCGTGTAGACAAACTATATGAGGTAGGGAGGGATTTACGTAATTACCAGAAGAAATTTCCTAGCGATTTTGCCCAAGCAAAATTCTTCTGGGGTCTGCCATCTACTGGAAATAGATAGCAAACCATATTAACAAATGTTATCGTTTTTGTTAGCATCAATAAATTTAAGTAGATGGGAACAATAACCGGTAATTCCAATAAAAACCTGAGTACATAACAATGGCAAAAACCAATTTCAATTCAATTTGACTTTAGTCAAATTACGAATATACATACTTAGATATAAAAAAAATTTAGAACGTTTTCATAAGGCATATATTTAATGAAAAATGCAATATAAATTCATAACTGGTCATAATGTTGATTTGGAAGTCTATGCATAATATGATCCGCGTAATTGATAGTTATTTGTTTATTTTTTTTCGAGATGACATAAAAAAACCTAGCATGACGAACAGACCCCAGTTGTAATGCAAGTTCGGCTCTATACATCGAGTGCAAACAACGTCTATGGCGAGAGAATGTTGGGGTACTTGTTACCATAGCTAACAAATGGACTACCCGGTCAGATATTATTATTTTTTTTACTTGGGGAAATGCATTGCGCATACCCTACCGCGGTGCGACTGCTTAGTGCGGGAGGGTTATGTGGGACTCGCGATTGTGCATACCCACTAAAACCCCAAAGCGCCACCAACAATCGCTTAAAGGCCGATTTACATTATCTTAGTGTTTAGGAGAGTGCTTTAGGATAGTACTTTAGTTGAAACATGTAAACGCTACTTGCTTTAGTACGGTTCTACTTGACTTTCAAGTTGAATCAAAATAGAATCGCTTTTTATTTCTGTTTCAAGTGATACCCCTCCCGCGCCCGCGCAACTCTCGAGATCTTCCCTCGTTGTGTGTAAACACGTAATTTAGTACAATCTTTAGGAGAGTGCACAAGTGCCGTGAAACGCGTCCGTGTTTTTGATTTTTAAAGATGGCTAAATGGTCGGAAGATACAACTATCAAATTTGTGTCTGAATATATTGTTCACGAATGTTTGTGGAACGTCAAAAACAATTTATACAAAAACAAACAGGCTAGGCATTCGGCATACACTGCCTTAAAAGAAGCTATTTTATTTATTATTCATATTTAGTTTATTTATTTCTAATAAAATCTCGTCTTCTATTTGTTCCATAACTACAGTTAGTATTTTGCGTAGAATAGAGCGTATTTGCTGACGTCGTTGCGCGTTTATTGTGGCGCTGTAATGATACTCTACTGGAAGAAATGTAAACGTTCACTCGCAACGCACTAAAGCACTAAAGAACTTGCCTTTCAACTTGTACTAAAATACTCTCCTAAACACTAAGATAATGTAAATCGGCCCTTAGGCGGGATGCGGTAACAGCAGAGCCTTATCCGCTTGACATGCGATGAGGTGGTTGTATCTTCACAAATCAACAATGGGCGGGGAGAATAGCAGATATAAAATAGCTTAACTTTAAGGAACTTAAAAAGTATGTTGAAGAACTTTTTTATATGCATTTGCCTCGCTCTTAATACAAACCACAGTGGTTTTCAAATGTACCATATCATGATTTAGATAATATTATTCAGTAAAATACATAATTAAGAAAAAATAAATACTTGGAGTAAAGCAAATAGAAATCAGTGAGTAAAGAGTATCGGCGACAGGTCTTGGAAGTGTACTAGACTGTAAAAATGAAAGAGAATTAAAAATATAAAATATTTTATTTTAAGTATCTCGCTTAATACAGATGTGGTATGAACAAGTGTCATCACTTTGTCTAATTATTGTACCTCTCTTGTTGAGACAAATAGTATCACAAGGGTTGGTATTAGGTTATAAATTAACATCAAGACAGCTTTTATAAAAAAATAAATGTTTATCATATATAATTAATACAATTATAATTTGTACTATTCAATTTTAATTATTACATTTTTTTTACATTTGTCACTGATTTTATTTGAATCTGATTTGATATTTTCTCTATTATTTGATGGCATATTTTTAGTAATAAATAACATTTCGTTTTAAACCTCTTCGGGTTTGATGACAAAAAATTAATGTAAAACGACATTACTGAAATTACCATTTCATTTGCTAAATTATTTTGATATTTATAAATATATTATTTATTTATTATTTCTTAAATAACTCCACGAAGCTATAGCTATTTTAAACCAAAGTTTACTTTTTATATAACCTGGGGGCTTAGTCAAGATGCCTTAACAGTAACACTACTGCGTACACACGCAGAAAGTCGAAAACTCAGTTTGTATGAAAATGACAGTTCGTGTCGATAAATTTTCATACAAATTTAGTTTTTGACTTTCTACATACTCTAATGTTGCTACGTACGCTTGACTAAGTCTCCTGTTATCACTTATCGTAAAGCATTGATATAATATATAAATTAAAGCTTACACCTACACCTTATTGATAGACACTATGACAAAATACAGACCATACAATTTAGTATAGTCTATCCTCTGCTTAAAACTACATTCTCTGCGATACATTCGAGACTATTTAGTAATGTATAAACAAGAATTTCACAAAAAGTTTAGTCTAATCCTTGGTTACACACTTCTCTATACGTAATAATGTTATGACTAAAACGCAAGGCAAGTATATAATAAATAACGTACTAATACTTGTTTAAATTATTACTAAATAACTAACCTTAAAAAGCTAAATTATAAAATGACAATCACCGTTTTGAGGCAAGAGCGGTTAACTATAAACTCTAAGGTAACAATAATTTCAAGGCGTTCACTTATCTAGAGATTATATAATACGTATTGAAATTTGTAGATAAGCAATCAGCTACTAAAATTCACTAATATTTGTATTGAACACAAAAAATGGAACAAACTAATTTCAAAGAACCACATCTCGAAGACTTTGGACAAACACGATTTTAATCTCATTTCTTAACATAGAATATTAAAAACATAAAAATTAGCATCGTAACAGAAAGAATGATAGACAAAAAAGTAGAAAAGCTCCAAATTTTAAATTTCACTAGACTTACATAGATTATAAATTCTAATTTCAGATACAATTGAACTATAGACAGCCTTTACCGAGTTAGACATAACTGTCAATTGTCAAAGTCATCGTTCATTAACAAAACTGTCATAAGAAAAAAACCGGGAGTTATAAGTACAAAACATAATACAGCATATAATATAAACTTTAACCCGAATTAAGGTTAAACCTTAATGACAATACAATGAATCATCTTTTGTTTAATCTGTACCAAAGTGCAGTACAAGTGAGTATGTGCATCAACACTGTGGTGGAAAGTACTAAAGCGATATTACTACCTACATCTATATCAGCCATGTCCATTTCTTTGAGGAAGGTACTCGGGGTTATGTAGTGGCAGTAAACTGAAACGAAAGAAAAATGGTTACAACAAAGTTTTACCTACAGAACCAAGCACCTTTTGAATGTAGACTTGAAAGAAATTCAAATACCCCTAAATATCGATTAAAAACACTTAAATTCTTTGTTGAATACCCGGTTTATATTTTGTTTAGTTTGTTTAGATGCATCCGATCCACTCAACAAAAATAAAGATGCAAGAAACAAAGCCTGGGAGGACATTGTTCGAAAATATTTTAGGAGAGTCTCCTGCAACGGCTCTCTGCTCAATCAATGGATGAACATGGAGTCTTCGTCGTCGCCGGTTTTTATTTTTTTAAGATAGGTAGTACAAAGCAGCAATAACTAATACACTCCGCATTTCGGTTCGTCTGTACAGTAAGGCGGTCAGTACGATACTAAAAGGAACCACGCTGAGCGTCAGCGCTGACGAACTACGCGCTGATCTATGAGCGCTGACGGTGAGCGTGAGACTAAATTCAGCCTTAGTTGACAAGATAGTTTTCTACAAGGAAAGGATCTTTTTTTATTTAATTCATAAAGCGGATGTTACCAAGTCTATGTATAGCATAGGGCAATAAAAATATGATAAAGACAATAAAAGAACATGCAATTGGAATTGTACTTCGGGAAATGTTTATTATGGTTTCAACACGTAAAAAAAATAAAAAAACCATGAGGAAATGCAAAACCCGGTTAAATCTCTTTCTACCGACCTTAATTTTTAAAGTATATTACCTCACGTTGTTACAGGTACCTACACACAACACGCACGTACGTACCTACATACAATAATTAATTAAATTATTTAATTATTGTATTAATTTCTCATTCGCAAGGGATTTTTCTTAAGTCTTTATAGCCATTTAGAAAGAGTGATAGTCGTGTGGTAAAGCTTGCGGCTCTTCCGCGTTTTAAGATATGTAATTCCCAATTTCGGTAACAATCCCGAACACTGTTTCCTGCGATAGGCGGTAACGGTGGCAAAATCAACATCATCCCAGGATTCTAACGTCGGATGGCGTTGCCTAAATATTTTTAGTCTTCTCATTACACATATTCTAATATAATATTATCGTCTTCTTCTTCGGAAGAACTTTTGACATCAAAGTATGTAACTATGTTTAAATTCATCACTAGATAGTAATAAACGTATCACAGCTTGATTTCTGTGACAAACAGCTGTTACTATATAAATAACCAGCGGCGTCTTGTTTAACCCTCCGATACTGAGTAGTTAACTGTTTTGACTAATGGTTTGATATTTGACCATTAGTTACTCTAACTACGACTCAAAAAAATGCATTTTGCTGATATTTAACTAATAGTTACGATATTTAACCAATAGTTGAGTTAATTACGGATCAAAAAACCGGCCCTTAGCCTTCGGACGTGTCAAATTTTCTCTAACACCAAATGATTTTTATTTCTACCCAATCACACATCTTGCTTGTGCGATCATCATAGAGAAACTAGCATTACTTAGACTCAGAAATTTTCGTACATTAAATGTATATAGTTGATAAACTTATAATGTTACATTAATTATTTCTTTTACTCTAAATAGACTTACTTTTAGAACAGTGCATTTTTGTCCTATTGAAGCCGTATACGGAATGAACTGCTAAGTGAAATCCAGCTCTAAAGTAAGATATATGATGCAGCCATCGGAAAGCATATGGTGTATCTCTTAAGGCCAAACAGAATCCAAACACTGAGAAGAGACACGCAAGCACTGGACCGATGAAAACAGCAATCTGTAATAAAAGAAAGTTGTAGCACCGCTGGTTTCAAATATTATTTCAAGGACATCCTACATACAAAATCTCGATTTATAAGTTATAGTTTTAGGATATTCATTGTAGATTTTTATTATATTATATATGGAGTTTGTCAGGCGATAAAATCGCAGGCGCACGATATAAAAACGCTTGTTAGAATTGCTCAGACTTTTAAGAAGGCGTTAATGTATAGATTGCATTACTTTGATAATTACGGTTAATTATTATATTTTGCGATTAAAGTAGATGCTGAAAATAATTTGTGTTTATAAATATGTCTTGTTCTTTTTATAAACTTATTAATAAACCGCCTTCTGAGAATATTAACTTACCCTAATAAAAAGGTTAAATTGGTGAACCAATCATTAAAGCTTATAATTTATGATGATAAAATTAGCTTTTCCAATTATATTTTTATTACAATAATACCTTATATTATAAACGATTTACAACGAATATTATACGAATTTAAATCTAATAAGTTTACTGACCTACTGATTATAGTGTTAGTTATTTATAATACATTATCTAATACATATGCATTACTTAATACTTCACACGACAAAATAATTGACGATATCTAATATATAAAATTCTCGTGTCACAGTTTTCGTTGCCATACTCCTCCGAAACGGCTTGACCGATTCTCATGAAATTTTGTGTACTTATTGTGTATGTCTGAGAATGGAAACTTCTATTTTTCATCCCCCTAAATGTTAAGGGTAGTCCACCCCTAAATATTTTATTTTTATTTTTAGATATTTTTTTATGATACAGCATTAAAAAATACATACAACTAACCCCTAACTTTCACCCCTCTACGATCAACCCCTATTTTTTTATTATAAATGATATATATGGCAAAACGACGTTTGCCCGGTCAGCTAGTATATTTATAAAAAATTCACTCTTTTAAATAACGAAGTTTATTCTATTTAGAATGCTAGGTAGTGACACTATCGCTAGTGGATTTTCAATGAAACAATAGTTCTTTCGGTTTGATAGGCAGTACTAGGATAACTGCACCTAGTCATTAAAATGAACTGCAACTGACAGGAAGTACAAGCACGAACAATACGTAACTTCGAATAGCTATCGCAATATGTAGAGATGATAGATTATGCATGAAAACGCTAGAAGACGCTCGGTGCGCGATTTACGAGTTTAATTAGTTAACACTTCTTAGGGAAGTGTTTATAGAATATTTGCATGTCAAAAAACCATTGTTTAAATAAGAGAAAAATATTTGGAAAATATAAATTGCATGAATTGCCGACACCTGTCAAAAGGCGTTATTTCGCGCTTTAAATCTATATATATAAAAGAAAAATGGTCTTCGTTTGAGGCTCTTTCACGCCTAAACCACTGATCGTATCGACATGAAACTACCACCATTAAATTCCAACGTTCCTTCATTTTTTTATTGCTGTTTTACTTTTATGAAAATTTATCCATACGGACTTCACCGCGGAAACATTCGGGGAGGCTTCCTAGAACCTCTAAACATCAACATCTGTTAAAAACTCGATTTTCGAAATATTTCAATTTTCTTAGCGGGAAGTTAAAAAGAAGAATAATAAAAATATGAAAAAAAATAAAATAATGAAACATAAAATTTATTTTAATTCGTCCAGCAAAGCGGGCGCGAAACGGCTAGTTATACATATAATAACGCGTATATTTTTTGCACTTTGCAAATTTAAAAAAATACCTTGGTTGGTGTCGTCGATCCAATGAAATAACCCCAGGCCTGGGCACAAAGCGACGTCGCGACTATAGTAGCCAGGAAGAGAGTAGCTCGATTTGGCTCTAAGGGATTGTCAGTCAGCCAATACGATAGTACTACGTAGGACACGCAGGATATCATCTGAAAAAATAAATTAATGAATTAGTAGGGTACATATGTAATGAAGTAGTAGTAGTACAATCGATTATGTCATGACATGTGACATGTAAAAATATTTACGAATGATGAGTTCGCGTTTATATTTATATGTCTCTTAGACAGCTACGGTTTCCTAGAAAAGCGGTGCCGTTAACTAACGGCCGTTATTTTACGGTTGTTAATAACGGCCGTCTTTAAGGTGGACAAGCTGTGGTTTCCTAGAAAGTAGTGCGACCGTATTTTTAAGGGTTATTCCAATTTCGTTCCATAAATTTTGCTTCATCTGAGCTTGTCTGTACTCTTTGGATTTGATATTGTACATAGCTTCATGATTTTTAACAAAATCAATTAATTGTTCAAATCATTTTCGCTCTTCCAAGTCATTGTATTAATTAAATATGCGCACCGCTACACGCGAAAAACGTTGAACTACTGTTTATCACCGCTATGATGGCCGTCATGCAAATGACAGCACAGCTATTTGACGTTACGGTCACACTCAAAATTCTCTAGAAAACCTACTCCGATGTTATTTATAGACAACGTATGGGTGACCAATGTACACTTATGAACGTCAAAAAAGAAATATATATTAAATGCTTCTAATTTTGAGAAGAACTGGCAATAAACTCTCCCCCACTCTTTTTAATCGCCAAGTTTTTTTTTACACAATGTTTGTAAGGAGCTGCACCCATTACACCATGTTGTATATGACATCTAAAGTTACATGCTCTCCCACAAAATTACAGAAATATTATGATTAGTATTTAAATAAAGGTTTCGAATCGACAAAATATATCAACAATATTCGGATAATGGCGTAATTTAGATTTTTAAATCAAATGGAAAAGGATGGGATTTGATGTCAAATATTCATGCGTGCGTTCAGAAATTTGCTATCAATAAGCAAAATATTTATTATACTTAAATATACAACAAATCAATCATAAATTTAGTTCAGCTTATCACGACATTCATTAACGTCAGGGGGCATGAAGTTCGCCGGCTTAGCTAGTTATTGTTATATATTTAAATAAATAATCCAAATAAAATCAAATTGAAACCAGCTGTAATAAATATATAAGGAATCTTGTTTATTACAGCAAGAGATTCGATTATAGTAATTCAATGTGGGTGTCGCACACACGATAGATTTATGATAAATTGCCATTTCATTTATTTTGTTACGTCTCATAATCTTGTAATTTATGGAATCCAAGGACTATACATATTTAATTCTCTGTAGTCTATGTTGGTCATGCACGTCATTAATATACTTAAAATACTTTAATTAAAGCGCCTGCAATAGTTTAATGAGATTTATACGCCGCGTTCAACTTAAACAATTAATTTATATATAGAAATATTATGGTTTGAGTAATATATTTCTTGTGCTCTAAAGACGAGTTTAAGTACTAAATATATAGGAATTTATATTTACCTGAAATGGTAACTCCACAGCAAGTATTGAAAATATATATGGACCTAAGCTGTACCATCGATTGAAGTATTCTCCTTTTAGTATCGCCATCTCAAGGGGAACTGAAAATAGGTAAAAAAAATAAGGATCTGTATGGTGCAATTCCTTAAACATACTCGAATCAAAATATTGATAAAACGGAGAATTTTCGAATCTCCCTGCATATGTATATATATGTATACAACAAATCAACTAATTTTACAACGGCTGGTACACTTTACACTGCTATACAGCTTTTCCAAGAGTTATAAATAACATTTGTAAGGCGTTTGACTAAGTATCATACGCTAGTCTAAAATTACCTAAAATATAATTCAGATTTTTCATGTGATTATTATTGATGGATGCTTTTTCGTATATAACAAAAATTAGTTCATTCGGTTTTACCCAATTATAGGACCGGTAATCATAGAGCTCTATAGCTTATAAGCTGTATAGGACATACATAACAAAATAACTATTTATAAGGTCCTTTGAACCATAAAATAATTAATTATCAACGTATTGAACACATCATAATTGTATATGTTCACACATAATTGTGTAATAAAAGTCGTATAATAAATCTTCTTTTAATTGATAGCCGGTAAACGCAAGTAGAACCGTATTGATCTTGATGAAGTATGATATGTTTTTTATCATAATTCATCAAGATTATATGTCATATGTCTATATATATGATATGTCTTCTGACATATATATATATTTATTTAGGCTGAAGGCTCACCCGATGGATACTCTCAGTGTCAGAGGGCTTGTGAGTGCGTTGGCCTTTTAAACTATGTATATTTTAGTTTATTCTACTAATTCTATAATTTTTAATAATATGCAAAAAAATATTTTATTTGAAGGTGAACACACAAATGGGTTAGCAAGGAAATAACATTTATTTGTGTCAGGGTAAGGTTCTGTCAATTAATCGTCACTAGATAATATGAAAACACTGGATAACCCGCTAAACTTGTTATCGACGAAATAAGTAAACTAACTAACTTGGATATGGAAAGAAAACGATTGCCGTAACTTGCAATTGAATTTGCAAAATATATATAATAAGATTATTATAAAACACAAGCCACCATATTTATAGAAGCTAAATTTTCTAAAAACATACCGTACGAATACTTTAGTCAAATCAGTGTAATAATAATAATTTAGTTTTTATAATAAAAGAGATAGTCTCTTATGCAATCAAAGGGATATTTCTGCAAGTTTGATCGACTTCTGCAGAAATTAGTTAGTAAATATGATTTAACAATCAAGGCATTATATTGCACTTGTGAACGTCAAAAAATGTTTCTAAATTTACATTAACTGCAAGTTCTTAAAGTAGACCGGACGAGAAGAACTGGCAATAAACTCTCCGTCACTCTCTTGTTCCGTCAATCATACTTCATACATTTTGCACATTTGAAAAGTCGTAGAAGTGGCGACAATAATTCTTGTACAAAATCTATAGGATTCGTTATTGTTTATTTTTGTAAAACGAAAGTATCGTGCAAGAAAATAACAAGTTAGTACTAAACGCTGAATCATAACTTTCACTTACATGAAAGTGTCACGGACATTTTCCCAGTGTAGACGACGAGCAACATCGACCCATACAAATATACATAATTTCCTAAGACACTGCTTGCTTCGCTTCCAACTCCAAGGTAGAGGTATCCAAATATTAGCGCTATTACCACGTGGGCTGCCACCCGGTACATAAACAGAGACTGAAAATAAATAATAATTATTATACATATATATAAATACTCAACCTTTCCTATAGGTTTTTTAAAAATAGCAGGTCTATATGGCTAGGTATTTATTTTTATATTTTGAAAATATGTCCTGTATTTAGGAATAAAGATTTTTATTTAAATCGGTCCAGTAGTTTAACTTATTCGTTGCAGACAATACTAAATAGATTTTCGCATAATTTTTGCTAATATGTATTATACGTGTAATACCCACGGAGTACTATTTTTAGAATGTATAGTATGCTATTTTCATATTTAATGTCATTACAAATTTGAAGCCAAAAAGTTTTTATTGTAAATTGTTGAAACTTTATTATTATTATTTTATTTTTATTATTAATTTAAATAGGCTCTGATTAAAAAAGAAAGAAATAAAATAGTCGTAACATGATGTTTATGAAAAAAATCGTGGTTTTTAATTTATCAGTTTACTCAGGCGGTGACCGTATTTGATTGATAATAGAAAATATATAAAAGACATCAATATTACTCTTATTTTAATGTTGTTAAATACTCTGTATATAATTTTTTTTTTAATATTTTGAATTTACCTAGAGGTCATTTTATTTTATGAAGTAGTTTTTATTTAAAATGATTTTTATTTTAAAGACGTCTGTTTATAAAATAACACTTGACAATGAACCGGTTTTTATCGAATTTTGAAAGACGATTGATTTATGTATGTTTGAATATTTATGAACATTATACAAGAATTGTATTTATTTTTATTAACTAACATATTTATTATTATTATTAACACGGCCACGGAACGCTGCTCAAGTTTTGCATACAAAAATCTCGTAAATACATTTAACGTAAACGTATATTTCAATATATAGCTTATATAATAAATCTAAACCGATTTACATATTGGGCTAAGTAAAGGTTCTTATATAAAACTTTATGTAAGTGATTACATTTAATCAGGACATGAAAACAGGAAACAGTATAAAGGGTCATTACATAACTTATCCAGTACTTACATAATTCCTCGTAGTGATTAAATAATTCCTATATAATAAGATCCATGTTTGTCTAAATGGACCTGATGGCCTGTACATGTTTTTGGAACAGTTTTGCTGATATTTGGCGTTGCTCTTCAGACATTTTTCTTTAGTTTTCTTAGTATCTAAAGCTGGAAAGAATTATTAAATTGTCATAATTAAAAACGTAAATATACTTTATAATATGTAATCGAATAAACTGTTTTGCACCAAGACAGAGGACAACATATTTTATTTATTTTCTATGTACCATTATGACCGTTCGTGTGTACATATGAGAGGTCTTAGGTAAAAGTGTTTTTTAACATTTTGTTTATGTTAATATGATTATAACAATTAATAGTATTTATAAAGTAAGGGCTTCTCAATTCACCGTCTCTACGTTTGTTTTACTAATCATAATTTACCACGCAACTGATTATTTAAGTGCTTTCTAAACGAGAAGGCCTTGGATACACCATGTACGTGACCAAGAGAGCTTAGAAGGATTATAATTATTCATCGATTCAGCAGAACCTGCATCGTGTCACGTATCCTTTTTTAAGATGAGCTTATAAAAGCTCAAGCGAAGATTTATGGTACTACGTGTTTACTAAGGCATTCGATTTCGTAACGCGTTATATTTCAAGGCGTTTTCAACCAGTAAGTTACGAAAGTTTCGTGTTACGAAAGGTTAGGCTTTTCTGCTTCGCTAGTAATGAAAATATTAGTTTTTCCTAGTAATATTGCAAAATACATTAATGGGCAATATTTCAAGTCTTCCAATTTTTGTTCTCTTTGGAATAGAGACTATACCGTGGTTCCGCTGTTCATGTGCACAGGCACTCATAAAAGATCTAGTGCTTTATACGCTCAACGACATAAGTATCGCAATACAGCGAAGAAATAGTGCTAAATTTTCGATTTACTAAAGGAAATTTTAAAGTTTCCTATTTATAAATTTTAATTATTATTGTAAATAATTAAGTAATAGTAATAATTATTAGTTTAATAAACTGTTGCATTAATCATAATCACAAATAAATAGAGCAAATCAAATTATCACTTTCTTTCGAATGATAAATCTGGAAGAGCTTTTAGTTAATTGTAGTATAAGGCAACGAAATGTAAAACATGTTTTGATACACACATCTTTAAACGCATTAAATAAATAGCAAAAAGGCCATGGGCATATTATGGCCTTTTTGTCTCGGATGACTTTGTTAATCGATTGATTGGAGGAGTTACTAACTCTAACTGAAACTACATATGGATATAATCTCAAATAAATAAGTAATTAGTGACATCTTTTTAAATTATTCAATTAATTAGATGTTTCAAGGACCAGGGAGTCTTTTACATAAAGAAGACGGAAATCTATTTGATTTCGTTAAATTCCATTTAAATGTTGTCATACATTGCATACATCAACGCTATCTAAATTGCCAAAACTTGCAATAATCCACTGTGAATGTTTATTAATCGGGGAAATCAAGTTTTGTATGTTGTATTATATAAAAATAAAAAATAAAATTTAGGGCTGGTCCACCCTTAACATTTAGGGGTTTGAAAGATAGATAGTAGCCGATTCTCAGACTTACTGAATATGCAAAAAAAATCTCATAAGAATCGGTCGAGCCGTTTCGGAGGAGTATGGGAACGAACATTGTGACACGATAATTTTATATATTAGATAAAATTGTTTATAAACTTACTTATAGGAGGAGTATGTAGGGTAGATATCACAGGTATGTTTTCTTCGACACTTTGCGTGGCTGGAAGTTCCGGCTTAAATCTCTCCATTGTCTTGGCAGCTTTCTCCAGGTCAACGTCATATTCACTAGACGCCAGTTCCATTACTATAAATGAAAAACAAATTCCCATTTTATTTAATTTAAAAAAGGTTTACGGGCATTACAACAAAAGCTTTCGTCTACACGCAAACATAATAAAAACTGATTGTACACACTTTAACAGGCAAACACAGCATGCTTTATACTTAATAACTATTGCTAACTAAAATATTTTTTACAAACAAATGTGATCTAAAAAACCAAGATATAAAGCTCTGCGAAACTGTGAGTAAGAGAGAGAGCTTCGCATATGTAGATGGAGAAGTACATAAACAGTTAGCACATCATGTAGAAATGTATTTATTGATTTTGCCTGAAATTTTAATATAAATTCTACAAACAAATGTGATCTAAAAAACCAAGATATAAAGCTCTGCGAAACTGTGAGTAAGAGAGAGAGCTTCGCATATGTAGATGGAGAAGTACATAAACAGTTAGCATACAATGTAGAAATGTATTTATTGATTTTGCCTGAAATTTTAATATAAATTCTACAAACAAATGTGATCTAAAAAACCAAGATATAAAGCTCTGCGAAACTGTGAGTAAGAGAGAGAGCTTCGCATATGTAGATGGAGAAGTATATAAACTGTTAGCACATAATGTAGAAATGTATTTGTTCATTTTGTATGAAATTTTAATATAAATTCAATAAAAATATGCGCCTGAAATATCTTTTATCATAGATTAAATTTATTGTTCAAGGAGTTAAATGTTTTTTTTAATATACTTCTAATCTCGTCTAAAAATTTAAGATAAAGCTTAAATTTGTTTATGACTATACATTAAAGTGACATTGTTAACAACATAATAAATCAATTTATTATAAAACAATTTTTACCTTGCCTTGTAATTTTCCTTGAATTTATAATACTTGCTGTAGCAACAATAGATAATTTATTAATAGATTTCTGTTACAAGTGTTAACTTACTTCCGGAAACTGGATGTCCTTAGAACCATGGATATATACAAATACTTTTGATTTATGAACATACAATTTATTAGAGTTTTTGTAAAGCTTCTTCTTAAGGAACTTAAAAAATCGAAGGTGATTTGTATTGTTTTTACTGTCTTATCTTGAAACCGACTTGTCTAATAACATTATAAAAGCGATTAGCTTATGAAATAATTGCATAACAACTACAAAATTTTGGAAAAAGGATTTTAAGCCGTAACTCTGGAATTAAATATAAACAGAAGACATATAATTATATGAGTACGCATCTTTGTTTGTCTTGCTTTATGTTTAACAAAGAAACAAACCATTTTTCGGTCATAAAGGCATTTTTTTTGGCGTTTCATGTATTAATTCATATGGCCATAGATTAAGTACCAAACATTTCCCTACATGTATAGACGAGACCAGTATTCTAGAGGTAGGGGAGGTTAAAATCAATCCTAAGGTTGGACGTTCGGAGCCCATCTATGGACTTATGACATCCTTTTAAGACTAGTACAGTATCGATTTCTACATTGCACAAATCGATAACGCGTATCAGGCATTTCCGATCGCTAAAAAATATTCTAGATCTATTGGTATACGGGCCATTATACTAATATTCAGATTGCAAATGTTTTATTAACAGTCGCTACTTCGCAAGTAATAAATGTATTTAGAACAGACTTTGTTTGAAGGGAAATCTAATGCGCAAACCGTTAAATACTGAACCACATTTACAGGGAAAATATATCGTTAGTCTCGTCTCATACGAAACAAATATTTAATAATATATTATTTCACACTTGAACTTATCTTATACGAGGATAAATGGCTCCTCGATATTTTGAGCAACACGCCTTACGTAATTCGTATTATATAATTTCACGGGCGAAATGTGTGTTTTAGTTGCAAACAAAACGAGCTTTTCGACGTATTTAAAAATAATACAGGGTGTCTCAAGAGAAAGTTCATTTTTAGTTGATCGATTAAAAAAAGTAAGTCGTGTATCAAAAAAGTGTTTATTCATTATTAAAGTACACATTTTGGGAATTTATTTCTTAAAATATAATACCGTCCAATGGAGACCCTCGCGTTCGAGGCACTCATTTAATTGAACAATAAAATTATGACGGCTCGGCAGGTGGACTCAGTGATGGCTGCCATTTTGTGACGGATATTTTCTTTCAATTGCGCCAGAGAAGTCGGCTTATTGGCGTAGACTTTAGGTTTAAGAAAAATAAAAAATAATCCATAGGCGCGCGTGGAGGCCAATTTATGTCACCTCTCCTAGTCCCTCAGTAGTAGGAGATCAATTTGCCTGAGAAAATTTCACGAACTCGTGGCGAACGTTCGTGTGTGACGTTGCTCCGTCCAGCTGGAACCATGTTCTTTGGTTATAGCCAGGAAAGTTTTGAAGTTCAGGCACCAAGATAAGAATTGAAATGTATACTTTCTTTTGAGACATCTGTTATGACTGACTAGGGTTCAGTCCCGGTTTCGCACGATTGGATAATTATTTTATTAAAAATGGAATAGTTAGACGTATGTTATTTTTTTTGTAGAAATGGATGTTCTATAAAATTTTAGTACATCACTTTGTTCTAGTGTTTATGCAAACCATCAAATATTTCCTCTTTTTTAGTGTAATTTAGAATAGATAGTTCCATAGACTGATTTACCTACTTGGAACTCGCGTGTAGTAAAATTTTTTTGAAGTTTAAACCTTTTTTTGTCAGGGATAACATTTTCCCTCAAATATTAAAAATAGAGGGGTTAAGGCATAATCTTTTGCACTTAGAGATCTCTCAAATATGACTATCAAAACAACATTGATGCAATTATATATTTATGTTTTAAAAATACTTTTTATAAATAATGACACTCGTTATAGTGATTAGTGCGTATGATTTAGTCGCAACACCACTAAAAACTCTTCAATCTATAGATCTCATAAAACTTATATAAACTTACCGTCTTAGCCAATATAAGGCGTGATAGCCAAACAAAACTGTTACTTGCAATGTGGTTGAAAAATATTAATTAAACTTACGAAAATCAGCGGGATTGTGGTAAGGTGGGCATCGTAGATCAGCAGAATCAAGCGCCGGTATCAGATTTGACCTTGATCCCGAATAAAGCGTCTTCCCAGCAGAGAGGCAGTAGACTGTGTCAATTTTCTCAAAGATCAGCGCTGACGGCTGGTGGATGGTTGCTACCACGGTTCTCCCACCACGCGCTAAGCCACTTAGCAATGCGATCAACGAAGCTGACGCTGAAGAGTCTAATCCCCTGTGAAATAATAATTTATAAATCATCATATTTCATTCACCTATCACATTTCATAATACCCTAAATTGCTACGGCCTTATCACATACTTGGACTAAGGATATGCCGGGTTTGTCTCCATAGTTACAATTCGTTTCACACGTAACATCGGAGTATTTATTTTATTAGCAATTTTGTAATATAAAACTTATATATAATATATTTTTTGTATTTGTATAGGTGAAACTGTGTTTTGTGTATGTTTAAATGTGTATTCCGTATTTGGCCTTTGTGTACAGTGTATTTGATTGAATATTGTTTAATAAGTAGCTGTAGGAATACCATTGAGCAAATAAATAAATAAATAAATATTAATTATTATAGGAAATACTTTGTGTCGTGAATAATAAAGAATTTTTTGTAAAGCTGGAAATTACTGGTTTTGATTAGTTGTGCAGTATCTTCTGTTCGTTTAAGTTATTTACCTACTTTACAAGAGTTATTTGCTAATAATTATAAACTTATAGTAAATGTCTAAAGGAAAGTTGAGAACTTGTCAAGTTTAAATAAAACTTTTTTAACGAAACATTCCCATTTCGCCCATACAAGTTTTTTCTAAATGTGTAGAATAAGCGTAAGACAATTACTAATACGTTTAAGAACAAGAACTATGCCTATGCCACGAAATACTTGATTGACTCCGGCTAAAGGACTCGTATCATAGTTATGTAATAAATTAACAAAAAGAGTTCATTAACGCAGCGCAATATCATAAAATTAATAAAGGTACTTGAATTGAAAATGATAAATAATGTTATTACTCTTAATGCCAATTCAAAATATTTTATTCACACAATATATATTATGAAGGTCAATAAAGAAATACATATTAAATGCTAAATGCTACTAATTTTACATTTACTGCTAGGTCTCAAATCAAGGGTGTAGAACGGACGAGAAGAACTGGCCATGAACTCTCCACCACTCTTTTTAATCGCCAAGTTTTTGTTTAACACAATGTTTGTAAGGAGCTACAACCATTACACCATGTTCCACATGACATCTTAAGTAATTAATAGTTAATGTATAATAATAAAAAATAAAAAAAAACAAGATTTGTCCTGTATCAGCAGTAGGCATGGTGAAATAGGAGCACGCAGTTACATTCTCGTGGGAACAACATGCAAATACATAGTCGAAATAACTAATATCACCGCATACACGAATTCAAGTCCGACCATTCACCACAAGTAGCACCCGTTCACGAGTAATTTCAATTTCAATTGTAATTGATAAAAACAATGAACTAAAAACCAAGTTTTAATCACCAGGGTTGCTATGGATATTAGAGAACATCTACGAAATCCTTGCTATAAATAATGATTATACTTAATAAGTCAAGACCGAGTTATCCTGTCAGAAATCATATTTATAATCTCATTAAAATGTATGAACCGCACGCTCCTATAATGCAAGAACTGTGTACTTATAAAGAACCCTCACGACTAACATAACCTTGACTTTGAGGATACATAATTATTAGTCAAATATATTTTATTCTATCTTATTGATGACATGACGCAATCAAAGACATTTGTTAAAATGTTTTTGTGGTAAATTGTTGCGATGCTTGAAAACACGGACAATTATTAATTGATAATATAAGTGGTGTTTTATTTTTAAATGTTAGTCATTGTGTATTTTGAGAATTTCCGCCTTATCACCTAACATACTGATAATGAACCACATCTGTTATACATATTAATTTTTCATTAAAGGGTATTCTCATTCAGTCAAATGAATAGTTTTCTGTTTTGTGATCCAGAATACAACAATTTCAAGTGTTTCAAATTGATGTAATTTTTATTTGAAATGAGTAAATAGTCGAATTTTGATATCTAAAAAAAATCTTAGTTTAATTACTTTTAATTAAACATTATTTCTCATCCATCTAAAATTAATTTAATCAAATCCAGACTTAACTATAATTTATTATATTTTTGGAGGATCTCAAATTGTATCGATTAACAATTTTACAGTCTAGTTTGGTTTGGCCTTTGGCTTCTTATGATTCTTGAATGAATTAAATAGTAGTAAGACTATGGAATTCACTTCCGACTCGCTCCTTCTTTATCTTTCTTTAAAACTACTGTACAATTAGTCCTCTCCACATCGAATCCTTACACAATTTAGTATTTGTCGTGATTCATGTATAGTTTTAATTGTCTGTTTGATTTGTTATTTTCTTTAAGGTAAAGTATGTCTTATGTAGTTTCGGCCTTTTAAAAAAAAACGACGGGAGTGCTGGCAGAAGTGAAAACCTTAATATTAACGTTGTGCATTTTTGTTATTTTGGAATGGTTAGGGAATAATTTTGCACGAATTGCTTTAATTATCAGTATAAAAGTACTATCATTTATGTGGTAGAACACAATATTTATTTATTGCGCTATCGTACACAAACATGACAATTTATATTACATTAAATACGCCACGCAAGCTCGCAGCCAGTCTACTCTCCATGCGTCTTACGAATTTTCGATCAGGTCACGTGTCCTGCGAGTTTAAAATTTGTTACCCATTCCAAAATGTGTACAACGCCGCTAAAGAAGTTTTCACTTCAAAAAATTGTCTTATCGGGGTTGCCTGCCCGTTGCCCTCCTCATTGTTTAATTATTCTAACTATGCTGATTTTTTAAATATAAACACATGAAATTATACTTACGTAGTAGGTTCGTCGAGGAATAGTAATGATGGATCTGACAACAGTTCTAAAGCTACGGCAAGTCTCCGCTTCTGACCTCCGGAGAGATCGCGACATACTGTCTGTGTCGACGCACTTAGGCCTAGCAACGAAAGGACCTCGTACACCTGTAAAAGGAATGATAATATAATTCTAGTAGGCATATATGTAGTTACAGTTCCGTACCGGGCAGACGTTTAATTCTTAGGATATTTTTATAATCTCTACTGTTCTCCTGTATAAGTCTCGCATTATACTGAATTTAATGCAAACAATTGGTAAGAGGAATAAACACAAATATAATACATATTTCAATAGGGCTACACATTAATTAAATAAATATATCGAAGTGTTATCTGTGAATTTCTTGTCTCACTGACCACGAATGCTGTGAGACACTCGAAACCCAGTTATATAAGTAACTTAATTATTTCGCATTTATATCCGTTGAATATGTAATTGAGGTCATAAAATCCTGAGTGGTGTGGTAAAAGGACGTAGTGACGGAGACACGAAAGGGAATGCTTAGTTTGATATAATGACGCAACGCACATAGAAGATATGTAAAAAAAACTAATACAGGTTATAATTATAGAAGTGTCTGATGTATGATGCGGGTTACGAGTAGGATATACAAGGCAAGTGTGGATGGTGAGGTTGGATCGGGTAGACCTTGGACCAAATCCAGAACGTATTAGAGAACAAAAATCGGGTCACGGTCAAACATACCCATAACTTATGAGTATGTAAGGTGAATGTCATCAGGGTGTATTAAGCTAGATAGGTACGTCAAGACCATAGCAATAGGAGATCCGAGGTCTCCGCCTACCCCTTCCAGAAAAAGCCGTGAATGTATAAAGGAATAAATATTAATGTGTAAACTCAATGTTGTACATAAGAAAAAATACGATAGGCATATCAATTGAGGCCAGAAGCTATATGGGAAATGTGCTAAATATGTTATTGCGTTTATTAATTAACACTAATTAAAATAACAGTTAACACAGGGTTCCTTTGGATTTTTATTTCAAAATGCCACAAAGCATTTACACAGCAAAATATGTAAAAATTTAAATTAAATAATAATTGCTAAAACGATACCATAACTGTGTAAACGTTTTACATAACGTATTATTGATGTCGGGCAACTTTCACAGTATTTTGTTTATTTTTAACTTACTTTCTCTTTCCGTTCGTGTGATGAGAAGTCGGCCAGTTTAAGAGCCGCTGCAAGAGACATGGATTCGTAAACAGTTAGATGTATCCGGAGGTCATCTTGTTGGCGAATGTATCGCGCGCCGCCTCTGCCTGCTGACTTCGATGCGCACGAGCTTGTTCCGTTCACTATGATCTCGCCGTGTGCGCCTTGAGTTCTGTTCGAAAGTTACCAGTGAAGATTAAAACATTATTGTAGTAAGAATTTAGTTTTACAACTTGAGCAATTCTTGATAGAAAGTGCCGGAAAAGGCTGAAAGAGTATCGGAAATGATAGAGACATCTGGAAAGGAGGCTTTCACCCACCATATCCACAGGCGACTAAAATATTACTACTAACATTAAGCTATAAGTGAATACTAATAGTGTAGTGAATACTATATCTCCTGTACTATCCATCGTACAAAAAATTTGTAAAGACATATTTTGTAGCTAGTAACTGATTGATAATATAACTGTCGAAGATTACCTCATCGGAAAGTTGTTTGTAGAATAGGCCTACTGAGGATGTCACGTAAAAAAACTCATACTCTACCTCATAGGTGGTGGGGAAAAGAGTCAGTAATAAATAAATAAGAATTTTTTTTGAAATTGAACAAAATTTTTCTTAATAGTTTAGGAGATATATAGCCAAAAACGTGTTTTCATCCCTTTTTCCAAAATGGCGGCCGGGGGACAAGGGCGCCAACCCCACAAACTTGGGTTTAAGCTTGTATTGACCCCATCTACATGTCCCATGAATAAAATTGCGTCCTCTAACAAGTGTTCAGTTTGGCCCTCAAATTGTAACATTTCCATGGACTATTCGTTAAATTTGATAACATTTGAGGAATAGAATTTGATGTCGTTGATTGATAACAAAGATAACAGTCTTTGATATCAATTCTTTTTTGTTCGTTCGTAGAATATAGAAAAATAATTTTAATAAGTTTGATTACATCATGAATTATAATTCGTGATTCTATATTAATGTTTCACTTCACTCGATTTAAATTTGGCGTATATTCTTATATTAATATGTAAATGATATATTTGGAAAAAACTTACGAATAGCCAGCTAATATATTAAGAAGAGTACTTTTTCCAGCGCCTGAAGGACCCATGATGGCCGTCAGTTCTCCAGGCGTGAAACATCCATTTACGCCCTTTAGGATATGCTTTTTTTCTGTAACAACAACAAATATGTTTAAATAATCTCAAGAAAATAGAACATTTTCAACTCCTTCTTCATTAACGTTCGAATTTCAATTATTTATCTAATTATAAATGATTTTTTTCATAGTCAAGTTATACAATGTATTTTTTTGGATTATATATTCTCGGCTGGTTTTTATATTGTGAGAACAGCTTCAAATATATACAATATTTCACAATATCTAAGGTAATATTGAATATTATAATTAGTTTTATTTTATATACATTAAAGGTTAATGACCGCTAACAATAGGACTGCATAGTCTGTCACCATTTTCTTTGTTAATCTAACTTTATATATTTAATCTGTGGTTTTCACAGTCATATCTTATGCATATTTATTGGTTGTCCTTTTGTCACAAATATTAAAGTTAATGTTACACAATTTTAAACAGTTCATGCCATTGTTTATTAACTAACGCATTCTCCTTTTTTCTGACAATTTAATAACCAATATTTCGTAGAATTAAGAGACCTCTACTGTACACAAAATTTTCCATTATGTCTCTCTAAAGTCTCTTTGCCTTCAATAACATTTCATACAGTGAGTAAAATATTAGCAAAGATATTTAAGTGCACAGCGTATAATCTCGAAATAATAAAACCGATATTTTATCACAAATATATGAATCCGGTACAAGTCTGGCACAAGTTGGGACCAGGAGGCCATTTTTATTAATGTAACATATTTATTGGTATTTTATAACAATTAGTATTTTAAGGTTTCAAAAGTTAGAGCACATTGATGGATCATTAAAATATGTAACTCATAATATAAAATTACGTGTTACCCAATTTTTAACGACATAGGTCGATCAATAAGTGTTTAAAGGTAAACGGGCTGTTGAATAGACCTTGTAATACACGTGTTTATATACGGCGAAGCCTACATTATATGTACTTGAAAATCGTATTTAGTTCTCACTTTAGACTATGCATAATCGACTGCTTACACATTTGATGAATTAATAGCAATTTACGTGCAACGTTTCACTCTGAATCGGCCACGGCGGCTTATCTTTGTTGAGACTGGCTGGAAAAATCATAATTGTTTATTTTCAGTCCCACCCGGGTTTCGATGCTGAAATGTTTACGTTTAGATTACTAGGGTCTGTTTCGATCTCAAAGCAAACAGTCTTTAAAAATAGACACTGTTTTGTAATCTACGAAATATTTGCAGCTCTTTTGGACTTCCACCAAAACCGTCGCCCAATGCGACTTATGACGAACATACGTAAGTGCATGGAAAAAGTTAGTTTTATGGTTTTTTTAAATGCATTAAGGATTAGATTCGATACTTAAGCGTAAATGTGACATCCGTATGTCAAACATTCGATTTTGAATATTTATCTACGTAAGACTAAAGATTTATTTATAATATTTTAATTTATTGGATCATAAGTAAATGGATATTATTTCTTTATTAAACCAATGTATTTCCTTAAGGACTTAGTTGTGGTACATAACGTTGCAAGTCAACGTTGTTATCCTGGTTTTGAGTGATTCATTTAACAAATAGTTATTCATTGTAATATTAATTAACGTCATAATATATCCATTATGATTTAGTAACATGCCAAGGAATAATAGAATTAATTTATGGATCTGTATTATCAGAAAAAAATACGTACATGTTGTTCTATGTTTCAGAAAACAAGAACTTGAAGTAAAAAGAGTATCGGTGAGTTACCTGAAAACTTGGAGTTTATAGACGTTCATAAGTGTATAGTTTAAGCTTTTATGTGTCATAATGAGTAAATAAATATATGCTAACCCCTAGTATCGAAGAATGGTTACTTAAAGTTTCAGAAATTAAGTCTTCGAAAAGAAACGTTAAAAATACGTCTTTCAAAATATAAAAAAGCTATAACGCCGTGAGAGAAACATCTAGAAAAAGAATCCACTTTTTCTAATATAATTTATGAGCAATATGTATATTAAAATGAATAAAACTTAAATAAATAATTTACGGAAATGAAATCGGAGATGTGTATGCATTATATTGATAAAAAACAGGTCAAAAATCCAATAAACATTATATCTATTTTATTACATTTGAACTAATTTAGCTGTTTAATAACTACATGTTAATTATATTTGCCAAGTTTGTTGTAATTTAAATCGTAAAGAGGCCGTAGTTAATTGTTGAGTACTTTTGTAATTCATGATAATTGTTATAAAATCACGTTATTAACTTTAGAGGGCCGTACATACATAGGGCTCACCTATGTTCGCCCACTGTACTTTTATTGTTGTTATATAAAGAATGTACACGATAACTGAGTGTCTTCCCCTTAACAGAGACTGTAGTGTTATTGGTAATTTTCTCATGTTAAATATCCTTTTTAGTAAATTAGGTTAGTTTTAAATTACTTATTAGTGTTAAGTTAGGCTAGAACGTAATGTTGTATTGTGTCTATGTGCATATATATATATAAAAAGGAAATGTATATGTTGGGCTTGGCGCAGTGTTGGCCTAGTGGCTTCAGCGTGCGACTCTCATCACTGAGGTCGTAGGTTCGATCCCCGGCTGTGCACCAATGGACTTTCTTTCTATGTGCGCATTTAACATTCGCTCGAACGGTGAAGGTAAACATCGTGAGGAAACGGCATGTGTCAGGCACTGGAGGCTGATCACCTACTTGCCTATTAGATTTATAAATGATCATGAAACAGATTCAGAAATCTGAGGCCCAGATCTAAAGAGGTTGTAGCGCCACTGATTTATTTTTTATTTTTCTATGATGGGCTTAGTTAATACATAAGCTGTGCTGGACTAGGTGCTTCAGCGTGACAATCTCATCCCTGTGGTCGTAGGTTCGCCAGCTTTGGACGAATTGACTTTCTGTGTCCGCCGTAAGGAAAAAACATTATGAGGAACAGTCGTAACGTCAACAACAAACATCAAACAATTTGTATGACTCAAAACTTAGAGATTAAAAAGAGTGGCGGAAAGTTTCTTGACAGTTCTTCTTGCCCGCTCTACGTCCTTGACTTGCGAACTGGTAGTAAATGTAAATTTAGGATTAATTTAACTTCTTTTCTGACGTTCATAAGTGTACTTGTATGCCTATATGAATAAAGTTATTTTGAGTTTGAGTTCGACGACGCAATCTGAGGCCACAATTTATGTCATATACCTATTATTTTCCTATATCCCACTGAGGGTATCTAAAATGAAAGAATTTCGACGTCCTAGTTGGTTTCTACTTCTTTTTAAATTCTGTATATAATACATAAATCCTTCATGTACCTCAAGTCATGTGCAAATCGCATTGACGAATATTATTGTTGAGCTGAACATATGTCTTGTTATTACGTAGATATATATATATAATAAATTAATGGCGCTTGAGGTAATTTTATGCGTAATGCTTGAATATAAATTTAGAAAAACCATAATTAGAAAATCCATATTGGAGGATAAATCTTTAATAAACTTTCAAAATTTTTTTCCAACAAAATACCAGGAAGGATAATTTTAAATTCGCTCAAAATGTAATTTGAAAGTCTTATTTTGGTTGATATTTGTTTACCGCCTACATAGCTTAAAGGTTAATGCACTAATGCATTTCTCAGACCATTAGGTCGTTATTTCGATTACCTAAAAATAGTTTGTGTAATGGCTGCCAAATCAATTTGTTATATGCTTTTTTAGAACACAGTATATGTTTTTAAAGGCCGGCAACGGAACTTGCGAGCCTTCTGGCAATGTGAGTGTCTATGGGCGGTATCACGTAACATCAGCCTCCTGCCCGTTTGTTTCATGTTATATAAAAAACGTGTCAGTATAAAACCACGGCATTTTCCATAGACAGTAAATCATTATTGATCATAACTTTGTATCATATGGCGCGACGTGTTTTGACTACGCCTTGCTGACGTATGTAGCGACCACGTTACGTCATCAATTGTATTCATTTGAATTTATTAACAGTAGCGTCTCGCTCTGACATCGGTACTAAATCATTATTGACAAATTTTAAAAATGTTAAGTGTCTTTACAAAGTCACAATATAGCAATTAATTATTGATTATCAAATTTCTATTTACTGTCAGTTCTACAATTAAAATCGTAGAAATGAAAGCTCGCGAGAAACTTTCCGCCACTATTTTTAATCGCCAATTATTTTATTTATCTCTTGTTATAAGCTCATAAAACCGTCAGAGATACCATAATTTCTATTCCGCTCGTTTATAAAAACCTTTAAATTGTCGGTATAGTTGTTTCAATATTTTCTATTTAAAAAAATAACTCCCGTCTATCGCGAGGTCATATAATGTTGAACATATCGTATTGTACGCCGTTGAGTGGAAGTTGGCAAAAAGATATGCGTAAAAAATAATATTGTTGAACAAATATTGATTTACAATTACTTTGTATCATCAAATCATTTGTTGTACTGACAAATACTGACGTGATATTAGGAATAGTCGATATGCATTCTATTGAGGCTTAATTGATTGATTTAAATATAATCTATAAAACTTAAGGTCTTAACACTCGCTTGTACAGTGAAGGAAAACATCGTCAGGATACCGGAATGCCATAGATCTATAATGTCGTCTGATATTGTCAGGCACAGATGGCTGATCATCTACGTGCCTATTAGAACAAAAAATTAAGACGAATCAAGGCCATGGGTTGTAGCGCAGCTGATTTTACAAAGGTCTAACCAGGTCTAACACGTGTTTACCAACCTTTTTTTGAAAATCTTAGAAAAGCTATGGGCCATACCCCCCCCACCTTAGCTTTTCTAAAATCCTGATGCCATACCAACATAATTTTTAATATTAAAAATTGAATTGTTCACGTAAGAAACTTAAATGGTTGGATAAAGTAAGAAATCACTAGAAAATTATTAACGAAACACAGTAAGTAAATTTTCAAAACATAATGAAAAAGGTCGAGTCTATTTTCGATTAACAATGAAATTGCCCCCTTTTGAGGCGGGAGCCCCAGGGAACTGGTTTAAACCTAACAATTTTTTTTATACTAACGCCCTGTTGCACCTACGGGACGTAATTTTGATATTAATACCGAGCCTACGACGGCTATTAGATCTTATAAAACCATAACCACACATTAAAAAGGTTAAAAGTTTACACAGTTAGCGACACAATTACAGACTGCATCGCAATTATCTTACACGCCCAATAATTCTCTCGTGTCAAGGCAGTTCAATATATCATTTTTTAATTTACACCTTAACATAAATAAACATTACATACGGGTCTGTTATTTCGTATCAAATGACATATCCAATTGCACGGCGATTGAAATTATTTAATAATCGGTTGTCTTTTTGTTGCGTGAAACAACAGACAACGAATATGTAAAACCAAATTCACCATAAAGGTTTTTTATTCGAAACCTATTGTTTATAAAAAGTTACCAAAAAGGTTCTTAATATCATTTATAAAAGTCAGATCAGTCTATTGGAGGGCATTGGATTGGCAGCTAGGTGAGGGGTACCAGGTTCGATTCCCGGTTCGAGGG